AAGGAGTCCAAGTTGGACCAGGGGCCGGAGCTGCTCCAGGACGAGCCTCTCCAGCGTCCTGGTGATGTGGGAGGTCAGCGCCACAGGCCTGCAGTCCTTGGAATCACAGGCACGCTGCGTCTTTGGCACCAGAACAATGCAGGATGTTTTCCACATCACAGGGACCATGAGCAACGTGTTGACGATATGAAGGAAGACTCTGCAAAGCTGGATAGCACAGACTTTGGTGGACCGCAGCAGTGGTGTTGATGGGAGTGTTGGCGGGAGGTCAAGGGGCTGGAGAGTCAAATCTGTTAAAAAACAGGTTGAGTTCACTGGCTCTGTAAATGTTGCCTTCAACCCACTACTGCCTGCTGGCCTGAACCCAGTGGCAGTCTGCATCCCTCTCCAGGCTCTCTGGTGTTTTCCTGATGGAGTTTCTTCTCCAGCCTCCTCTTGTAATCCTCCTTAGCTCTTCTGATCTCCACCTTCAAGCAGCTCTGCATTACTCTCACATCATCACTGTTTCCATTTCGGAAAGCCCTCTTCTACTCATTCAGGATGGTTTTGATCTGACCAGGCCTTGTTATTTGGGTAACAGTAAACTGTCTCAGTGGGGACGATGGAGTCGACACAGAAGTTGATGTAGAGTGTTCTGCACTCGGTGAGGCCATCGATGTCCTCCATGTTCGGCTCACAGAGTGCCTGCCAGTCAGTGGCCTCAAATCATCCCTGTAGCGTCTCAGTGACCTCCTGTGACCCCCTCCTCACTGTCCTCATGGTTGCAGGCTGGCTCTTCATCAGAGGGACGTAATATGAGCTGAGATGCACCAGGTTATGATCGGACCGGCCGAGTGGAGGGAGAGGAGAGTAACTCTATGCATCTTTTACGTTAGCATACAGCGAGTCCTCTCCTCTCTGGTGGGACGGAGGTGGGACATACTGGGTGAAGTTGGGCAGAGTTCTGTCCATGGTGACATGATTAAAATCACTTGGGATAACCATGAATGTAGCCAGATGTCCAGTCTACAAGCGAGGTCACAGGCCACCTTGAGGTTAGCAGAGGGAGGAATGTAAACATGACATGAATATTCCCATGACAACATGGGAATATTCATGGGTTTAGTAAAACGGACAAAGACCAACCACCGATAATAGCAAAAGCTATTATCTAAATATACAGGGTTGTTTTTTTATTTAACATTGTTTTGTTCTAAACTTTTGCTTCTCTGTTTGTGTTCAGAGAAACTCCCACCAAACAAAATTTGGAGATGCGGCCAAAGGATTTCAAGAAAGAAGGTAAAATCTGCAGACTTCGGACAGAAGAGGACGATGATGAGGATAATAATACCTGGAATGGGAACTCAACCCAACAAATGTAGTACCCTGGGTGACATAAAGCTGCTGGACCCCCAAAACCCGCTTTAAATTTTGATTTATTCTTTGTTTTTTTCATGCTCTTCTTTCTCCATTTTAGAAGTTACGTCCCTGCACTTTGTCTGCATGTTCATGTAAATTTAATCCCATTTGACCTTGAGATGAGTAAAATATTTCTGAATTTAACACGACTGACTGGATAATTTTGATTGTGTGAAGCCACTATTTCTGTTTTGTGCTCATTACTGATCGAGTAAATTCAATAAACAAAGTTTTAACCAATCATGGGGACCTTATTGTGTCTGGTACCTAATTCTTTCTAATAATAATAATAATCACCAAATTTATTTATAATGCCCTTTATATCTCCAATTGAAATCTCAGAGGGCTCAGTCACATGCTGGTTTCAGCAGGCTGACAGAACCAGCGGCACGAACACCAGCAGGCAGGGAGGGTGAAGCAACTTCCCCCACAAACGATGGGAAGACATGCAGCCCGAAAAAACACCTTTGACCCTGGATTTACATTGGGATTAGAAATTTTACTGAAAATGTTTTTCATTTGACTATTACAAATCAGAAGTGTATGAGCTAGCTGAAGAAAGGAATAAACGTCCACTGTGTACTGCTTGTTTGGTATGACGGCATGTTTTTTTTCTAAAATATGAAAAGCTGATTTTACCCCCCTCCCCGCCACAATTAAAGAAATAAAATGTTTTCAAAACAAGCCGACTTGATCGATCATTTATGCACAGATATTTTATATACATTTTTTCAAGTTTGCACAATTCAGTAGATCAAAGTGCTTTTCATGAGGATATCATTTTATGTTGAACTTTGGGAACAATGCAGGCTAAAAAAAACTAAAAGCAAAACACTGGAATGAAATGGCTTACTTACCTCTTTCTTGTGTAAAGGCCTGCTAGCGACCTAATTATTGTATTCAGGTGTGGTGCAGCAGAGGCACATCTAGAAGTTGCAGGGCAGTGATGGCCCTCCAGGACTGGAGTTTGACACCTGTGCCTTAGAAGATGGCTGATGCCACCAGAGCCAAAGGAGGTCTTCAGGAGCCACCGCACTCCTAGAAGCTTCAGCCTCCTCAGCAGGTGGAATCTGTCCAGACCTTTCCTTCCTGGTTTTCCTCTGTTGTTGAGGAGGTAGTTCAGCTGACGCTCTCTGTACTCTGAGTGGTATTATGGCAGAGTAATCAAAGGACATCATGGGGAGTTGATGGAGAAGTTTGCACTGCAGAGAGTGAAGAGGAATGGTGCCAGCACAGCTCCATGTGGAGCCCTGAACTGCCGACCAACTTTTCAGACACCAAGACTAGATGGACTGGTCCAAGACCAGCAAACTCTGGCCACAAGCTGATTGCCCAAATATAATCTCTGGTCCCAGAACCAGAGTGCTAATCTCAAACTTTTACAAATCATAAGTATCAGCTATCTGCTGAAAGGATTGAATGTGTGCTTACAGTTGGATTTTTTTTCTCTGGTACCATTCGGCTCCCTTGCCCTCCAGGACCTGCTGCTTGGAGACATCCTCACAGTATGATGCTTCTTCCACTATGCTTCATAGTAGCAATGGTGTGTTTGTGGTGATGTATAGAGCTATCTCAACCGCTGAAACGTGGAACTCCTTCAGCACAGCCGTGGCAGCCTGGTAACTTTCTTCAGTCACTCAGATTATGAGGACACAACCTGATACATGGACCAGATTCCTTCAGCTCCAGAGGATGTTCAGTTACTTGGTGTTTTTGTTTCTATCCCCTAAACTTACACTTTTCTGTAACATTTTCTATCAATTGCCTGGAGTGTTCTTTTGTCTTCGTATTGGTTAATCTGGTCCGTTTACAGCTTAACCAGTAAGTGGACCTTCCAGACCCAGTGTCTTTATGTACGACCAGCTGAGACTCACTTAAAACACTCAGGTCATCTCCATTCTGTCTACTTTGAATTAAGGGAGTGAAGATTCATGCAATCAGCTAATTTATGTTAGATGTTTTTGTTTACCTGTCAGTATTTTGTAAAAATCAGTTTTCCCTTTGTTGCTTCAGTTTTTTTTGTGTGTGTGCGTAAACAGGATATATTAAAAATGCCAAGTTATGTTGATCATGTTTGAGTTGTAATGGCAAAGAGGGTGAGCTATTTTTATAGGCACTGTATTTTGTCATTACCTGCTACAAACTCCACATGGTGTGTTGTAATTGTGCAGCTAATCTTCCTTTTATTAGAGGTAATTTCTGACCCATTGATTTTTGACTATGGAGCAAAGAATACTCACAAAAGTTAAGATTTTAACAGAAGTGTAAAGCGTTATATAAAAAGCTAAATCAATCATCAACAACATTATCAGGGACACAATGAGCAACAAGAACAAAATCTAAATGTTTTTGTTACTAATTTTTCAGTTTTCACCTATTAAAACAAAAGAAAACTCCTTGAAGCTTTTTTGTTTATGTATTAATAATTATGTCAAAAGAGAGATGAACTCAGTTTAAGGCAAGTGGTCATATTCTGATGAGTTTATTTGTACTAAGACTTTGCATTTCATGAAAATAAATGGTGCAATTCTCCAAACTGCGACATCAGATAAACTGTACAGTCTCCATAAACAGCAGAAAATGTCATTTTAAACTAATAGACCTACTATAATATTAGCAATTAGGTTTATACGAGCTCCTCAAACCAACCGTACTCGATCCTCAAAAATACATATTTTACAAAGTTAAGTAGATTTTAATACAACATAATCATAAAATCACATAAATCAAATAAATGAAAGCACTGAGAGCGTCTTATGTAGGGCTGAAACGATTCCTC